CAGAAAAGTCTGTGTATAAAAAACAGTGTCTTGTAAATAAAGTTATTTCCATAGAAAAACTACTATTTAATTAATGTAGGTACTGTATCTAGGTACTGTAATATGCGATTTATAATAAACAATAAAAAAGGAAACGCAAAAAATGGAATTGAAATGATATTATGTTCATTTTAATTTGCCTTCTTTACTAAGGAATTGTCCGTTGATTATTATTACGACTTGCAAAACAACCCTTATTGGTGAACTATTGGAAGTTGAACACAGACACACACGTTGTAATGTGACAGAGATAAGCTTTCGTTCAGTGCAACACCTTGAGGTTTAAATAATTTCTTAAGTACATGACTCACGAAACTAGTACATATAATTAGCTCAAATATTTACTACACAGAGTGCCTACTGCCCTTCACCATTCAAACCAAAATCTATAATTTTCGTTCGACTGTCATGACAGCAATAATAACTCCTGATTACATACCTTCATTGAGGTGAGAAAATAGCGATAGAATCGATATGTTTTGTACATATGCGTATTTTATGTACAAGGCAATACAGGTTATTTTTCTCTGACATATGCATGATATGGTGATTTTTATAGCTACGTTCGTTGTCTGACCGCAAGCCGCATGCGTAATGTAGGAGCTATTACGTTACTTTAACTTTGTTTTTTTTTGCATAGCTATACTTAGCTAAGTTTGCAAAAAAAATCGCTAATAATTTTGTGTCTTATTAACAGTACGTTTAGATTTAGGTTGGAAAAACAACCCTGGGTGAGATGAGAGGATGTGTACTATTATAAACCGCCTCATTCCTTCTCTTGCTCTGAGCTGGAGGCTTCAGCGTGTATTTATTGTTTTTTTTACTCTTGTGAAAACATGAATAGGGCTGGCACTTTACAATATTTTTGCATGTTGATAACATCACTATTTTACTACTAAAAGGATAGTTTGTGAAGCACACGCACAATACAAATACTTTTTTCTTCAGACTTTTCTGCAGAATGCTAAACAATGATGTATTCCGAACGACTACATAACATTTTAAAAATGGATTGGAATAGTGTCTTCCTGGAGATTTAAGGTTCAAAAACTGTCCTATGTCGTTTCTCGAGTTCCAAACTATGTCCAAATTTCACACAAATAGGTTCAGTAGTTTAGACGTGAGGAAAAGACAGACAGACACAGTTACTTTCGCATTAAAATATTATAGTTTGTAAGGCATTGGAGACTAAGGGATTGGGGAATATTATCTAAAAGATAAGTTATACATAGAGACATTTAATTAATAATGTATTAATCAGTTCTTCCGATCGCGCCATCAAAATGAATCATGTTATGATTGCAATAGCAATAATTATGCAAGGATACTTACTATTTACCATTGAAACAGTAGACCCAACAGCTCGTATAACAATGACTCAATAGAATTAATTGATAATTAAATATTTAACTATTGTTGTTAACGTCAACAACAATAGGAAATATACCAAATGAAATGAGCGAAATGGCAATGATTTTTGTAGAAGAATTTTTAGTATAATAAATAAGTTAACTTTTTAATTTAAAAAAAAATTACATCACTTCATTTATCTGTACTCAGATTTTTGCTTTTGCATACAACAGGGCGGCCAACCAGCAGTACCTAATCTATTGACACCGACACTACCAGAATAAAAGTTGTTACCGGCCTTTAGGAAACTAGGGAAGGGGAGAAGAAGGAGAAGAAGAAGAAGAAGAAGAAGGATTGGGCCTCAGGTACCCTCACTTCACGGAGAAACACGTGCAAGCGTTGTATCACTTTGGTTTTCTGTGAGGCCGTAGCATCAGTTCAGTTGGAGCAGACAATTTTTTTTGCTGACGGTGCACCAGATCATAATTTATCAGGGTCGCCCATGGAATCCCGCGGTACCAAAGAAGTCATAGGCGGATAACGGCCTTTTAAGAAGGAGTACGCTCGTTACATTAAAGTTAATACACTCTGAAGCATGTCTTCCCAATTCTAACTGCCAGTAATTCTAATTTTTACAACCATTATTCTATCAAAGCGGGTCATGAATTAAATCAGTCGATGGTTTATTCACAGCCTGTGACTAATTGCAGTTGTAAAGTAAATAAATAGCGTAGCAAAGTATACGTTTGCCGACCAACTTGTCCAGACTGAATGGCACCTACACAAAGGTGTGTCACCAAATTACATAGCATTACAAATATATTAGATTTGAATTTTTGTGGAAACTGTGTAACAAGTGATTGTGACAGGAAATGTAATTTTAGTGACAAACGCTACAGTTTGCGGTGGCCTGCAGAAATATTGAGTTTATTAATAGGTGTTTTAGTAGCGACCGTTTATTTATTAGAAATACATAATATAAAGAGTGAGTTGTACATAGTACATACCTACATTATTGAGTACCTAAACGCAACTCAAATTTTAAACTGAATTGTGTGTAGTCACTAAAAGTAATAAAAAGTTCTTTGTTTTACATATTTGTAATACATAAGTACCTATCCTATTATGAAGCACCGAAAAATTCAATTCTTTAGACAAATTATAGAGCGTGGTTTTCCTGATGAAAACCTACATGAATATGTAGGTATAATCCTCAACATAATTAAATTTGTATTGAATTTTAAAAATTTCACTTTTTGAAAATGAAAAACAGGTGTCTAAATTCTTAATTACCATTGGTGTCGAATCGTCATCACAATATACCTAAATAGAAGAGTGTTCCTTATTATTTTGAATTTAAAACTGGCGTATTGTGGGTGTGTACCGTATGACCTTTGCCCCGCCATTTTTTTAAAGTAAGTATAAAGTACAGTTTAAGTAGGCAAAGTTAAGATGTATGAGAGTAATATAAGTAATAACTTGATACATTACTCTTCCGTTTAAGTAAGTGTTAAATTCTTTACAGAGTATATTTACAAAATAAGTAGGTTTGTAATAGCTAATTCTGTTGTCTACTTTTTTCATTTTGTTTCTTAAAAGAGTCCTACCTTCTAATTGCACAAGACAGACTTTTCGCTGTTAAAATAATATCAAACTAAATCAAAATCATAAAACTCAATGTTTAGATAAGTGATTAATAAATAAACTTTGAAAAAGTACCTAAAATAAAAAAAAATAGTAAAATACGACTCTGCTTTAGAATATAGCTAAAACTTAAAAGCATTATCAAACAACACGTTTTTCAAACAGCAAATATTATTATAATAGATAAATTTATACCTAAGCGAACGAAGTTCCATATAGGCACAGGTAACGCCATCTATCGGCACGAATATGAACAAAATTTACAAATGAACAAACAAGATCTTGGCGTCTATTTTTACACCGCTTCCGCGTTTTTGGTCCGAACAAGCGAACTAGTTTTTAATTTCCCAATTCGGTTGCCAGATTTCAACTCAAGGAAGTGAGCATCTTTTTAAGGCTAGGAAGATTTTAATATTTATGTTGGAATATTACTGGCAACTGATATATGATATGTATCTTGTACTGCACTGCAACTCTGTTATTATTAAAGAGTTTATTTATGCTTATCCGTATATATTTAATATTGTTGTTCTATCGTCTATGTTTTCTTTGTTCTGAGGGGATAAACATCCAAAGACTTCTGTCGATCAGGGTAAGGCAAAAAGGAGTGTCAGACTCTTACTGACTAAAACTACCCCGTTTCTTCTTCTGCTCTAGGCTGAGGTCGCGGTACCTTATTGCGCTTGCCCCGCAACCCCGGCTGAACATCAGCCTTGTTGGGTCCTGTCTGTGATGGTCTATTGGCTTTACTATTCTAAAATGACAGGAATTACAGGTCAAGATTGAACTGTGATCCTTAAAGAAATCGAATCACCAAAAGAAAAAACAGCTACCGCGTTTGGACTGTGGTATAATTAACTAGCTCTCCTCTCACGCGGTTTCACCCGCTGCTCGGCTCCATTTAATCGTAGCGTGATGTTTTATAGCCTATAGCATTCAGGAACATTGTAGCTATCTATCAGTAAAAGAATTTTGGCAATCCGACCAGCGGTTTCAAAGATTACCCCCTACATACAAACTTACAAATTTTACCTCTTTATAATATTGGCATAGATAAAACAAGCTAGACATAATTTGTAAATAAGGCTGACAACTAACCTATTTTTGAATATTTCATTCTTGACTATGGAGTGTATGTGCTTCGCCGGGGACTTTGCTAAAAACATGCAAAATCATTTCTTATAAGAACCATATTTATTTGGAGACCAAATATTTAAAATTCCATAAATGATAAATGTCATTCTTGCTTATATTTCTTTAGACGTCTGTTATTACTTGCAGTTTATATTTATCGCTACAGAGAATTAAAATAGACTGCCAAATCAATAATACCTACCATTAAAAAATATAGGTTTTCATTCAGTAAAATTTAAATAAAATAATTTAAAGTTGTAAAAACATGCAAAAAATTTTCGATGAATGCCAGGCTCTTTTTGAGTTTCTACACGTCATTTTCATGGGATCAGCACACGAAGAAACGAATCGGAATGGATATATGGTAAGCCATTCTCGCTCATGGACACAACACCGGATCAATTATAGACGCATTACAGGTCCTTTAAAACAGAATGGGTTTTTCGTGAAGGTCGTACCAGTCCCAAATAAAACCATAGACTAATTCTTTAAAGTGTAATGACTATAAAATATTAAGGCATTTTGATTTCAATTTCAACCTAGATCTAGAAGTTATTTAGTGAAGCGATGTTTAGAAAAGGACTTCTTATTAAGTGTCTAAAGGGATAAGGTTATTTTTTAAATAAAGTTATCCGACCTTAGAATTAACTCCTGTGTCGTGGGTGGGTTTACAAACGTTCAATTCCACTTACACATCGCACCCAGACCCGAAACAACAATTTATGGATCACACAGAGTTGTTCCGTGCGAGCAACCACCATCACCGTCAACCACGCAGCAGATTATGATGATGACTAGTGTTAAGAGAAGACAATTAAGTAACGAAGGCCTACCTGAGTAAGCAAGTGAGCTGCACGTCGTTCTGATACCGGGTGAGTGCAGGCAGGCCTTCGACGCGGACTGTGTTGACCTTCTCCCGCAGTCCCCCTCCGCAGCCGCCACACCGTTCCCGTAGAATTGACATTATGTTTGGCTGACGCAGAAATGCTACCACCTACACAAACAAAAAGGTTTTTACGTGAAATGTTTCATAATTCTTAAAAACACTACAAGCATATTAGAATACTAGATACTCCCGCGCGATTTCCCCCGCTGCTCTGCTGCTACAGATCTTAGCTTGATGTTTTAGCCTATATATAGCCTTCCCCGATAAAAGGACTAACAAACACAAAAAGAATTGTTAAATTCAAACCAGTAGTTTCGGAGGTTAGAGCATTCCAACAATAAAGAAAACTCTACAGCTTTATAATATTAGTATAGATATGGAATGGCAGTAGAAATCGGGAACCGAAGAGAAAGTATTTAACACCGCAGTTACCGCGATTAGCCCTCTGATTGGGTAGTTAATTTGCAACAGGCCAATAAGAATTCTGAACGTCATAAACAGCGCTCAAGTGGACGACTAATCTTCATAAATTAAGTAAAAATAAATAAATTAATAAAAAAAGCTTTACGTATTTTAAAACCCAACTATAATTATTGCCTCACCTTATCGTTATACGCGACAGGTATTTCTTGGTGTGTGTTGGTTACTTGCGCATCCGCAGCCGATAGTGGTGGCCGTGGTGGAGGTGTTGGAGCCTAGAAAACCAAATAAAATAAGTAAATAAGTCCTAAGAATACGACCAATACGTTTGCGCATATTACTGTTCAATAATCCGAACAAATTGCAAAATCTGATGTCCATTGCGCATGATCACACAATACTTGTACAACTCAGACTTCTGCGCAAATTTTGTAGTATGCGCAAACGAATTTGGTACTGCGCAAAATCAAACTACATCGCTAATTTAAGAAATAAAACGTTCTAAAAAGAACTGAATACAAAACGTAGCTGATAAACAAAAAGAAGGCACAAAGTGAGCAAGCAAAACCAACAAAAAAACTGACCAACCAACAAACAATATATAAGACAAGCACAAAAACCTTGGATTGGACGAAAACATAAAGAAAACGGACATCCACAAAACATGCTAATAACAAAAACAAAGGACAACACAACACTGAAACATTCAAACCATGCTAATGAAACGAAAACTATGAAAAAATTGTATCTCAGTAATGAATTTCGGAAAAATGTATCTGTTTTCCCTCGTAATATTCACCAAAAATGTTCGTATAAAATAATGATTGTTTCTGTAATATAAAAATGTGTGTCAAATTATGATAGCACAACATAGGTTGACAAAAATTCCCTATCAAAATATGTATGGATATGAATTACCCAAATAACATTCAGTGTCTAATGCAAGTGTGTGAATCCAATGAAATGTTGAGACAGCAATTTGATCAATATCTAACAAACTATAGCTGACTGATGATTGAAAAAAAAAATGGGCATTCCAATCAGTTATGTGACTCGTATGGAAGACAACACCGACTGAGATGCATTCCACTACAAAACGTAAGAGAAGTAAGCAAGATCACCGGTGGGTCGACGAGGGGTCGTCGACGCTGCGGCAGTAGGGGAGAGAACGGGCCGGCGGCCGCGCCCCGTGGTACTCGCGGGTCGATGAACGTCGTCCGCCGCATCACATGGTCCACGAAGAATCGCTGCCATACAAGACCCAACTCATGTATTGTATATTCATAACCACTAAACATCTTGTTAGATATAGTTAAAATTTTTCAATCCGAGCGAACTTTGACTACGTTATCCTTATTTTAATGATAAGTCGGCAAACGATCAAACGGATTACCTGAAGTTAAGCAATCAGCGCCGCCCACGGACATTCGCAATAACAGAGGAATTACGAGTGCGTTGTCAACCTTTTGAGAATTAGGGATTGGGGAGGGGAAGGACTGGGCCTCCGGTAGCCTCACTCACACAGCGAAACATATCGCTGTGGTTGTTTCACGCCGGTTTTCTGTGAGGCCGTGGTATCACTCCGGTCGAGCCGACCCATTCGTGCCGAAGCATGGCTCTCCCACACTTAAACTACTTCTACGCCTTTTTTAGCGATATGCATTGCAATTATATTTTTTGCCTACCCACTGTACCACAGCCCTTACAAATTTTTAAGAATCTACATCTTTACGCTATCCGTTAGTCAAATAGGGTGAGATGGGCATTCAATCTTAACCAGATTCGGTTGAGTAAGTACACTTAGTACTTTACATAAGGCACCACCTAATTTTCAGTCTTTAAGCATACCATAGTTGGTCTTTGTCACGAAGTCTTACTCATTTCCACACTTTCATCAACTGCATAAAAAAACAATTTATCTGTCGTACCTTTCCATTCCTGTCGAGTTTGGTGTCCCATCCGAGTGGCAGTTCCCTATCGGATTCGCTGAACATGTTGACTAGAGCTACCAGGTCCCTGTTATGCTGGTACCGCTCGAACGATGTGGTATCCCGTCTGATCTTCGAAATCATGTGCTTCAATGTAGAGTTGCCGTTGTATAGGACGGATGCTTCCTGTAATTAGATTTTAGGAGGTTAAAATACTACCTTCTTTAGACGTAAATATTTTAAAATAATAAAGAAAGTGTAGTGTAGTTTATTAGCTCAATTCTAGTTTAACTGATCCAGGGTCAACCGGAGTTTTTGAATTTTTATGAATTATAACTCGTGGTCACCGATATTGAAATTGTGCCCAAATTTTATGAAACTATCTCTTCGTAGAACTTTATCGTATGGAGAAGGGGAAAGCGTGATAATATCATTATATGGAAGTGAAACTATTGATACTTTTATTGACAGTACGTAGGGCATGCTTACAAAACCAATTTCAAGGGAAATCTATACTTCTCATATAAAGCTGTAGAGTTTGTTTATTTGAACGCGATAATATCCGGAACTGGTTCGAATTGAACAATTTTGTTGTGTTTGTTAGTCCATTTATCGAGGAAGGCTTAGGGTATAAAACATCACGCTACGATCTATAAGAGCCGAGCAGCGAGTGAAACCGCGCAAGAGAAGCTAGTAATATTATTTTACCTGGTTCATATGCAGTATGGAGTAGAAGTCAGGCCTGGCGAGGAAGAATGCAGCAGGGTGAGGTACGTGCGAGGTGTCCCCTGCCCGCGACGTGGAGGCGGCGGCGGAGGGCGCGGCGCCGGCGCCGGCCTGCGCGTGCGCATGACATGGCGGCGGGGACGCACACGCACCGGCTTCTTCCTCGGCCAGCTGTGTACGCGTCATTGTGCGACGAATTGATTGGTATCTGGAATAGTATAGGTAGATTTTCACGTTAGCATTGCTGAATTAGACTTAGGATAATATTTTTATGACCATAATTTTTAAGAATAAATTATCAAAATAGTTTAATTATATCCAATATTTTTTTATTCTTCTTTAAACAAACGTTGCTCCAAATCAAGATTGTCTCCTGTGTCGTGGGTACGTTTACAAACATAGAAATTCACGTAAACAAACCACCCAGACGCGAAACAACAATTTTTGTATCACACAAAGTGTTATTCCGTGCGGGAGTCGACCCCCGACCCATTAAATAGCAGCTTCCAAAACACAAGAAACTTAAGAACAGCAGCAGCAGATATTTATTGATGGATACTTTTGTGCACATGGCCCCAGAGATAAGTTCTATTTTATTGGAAACTTACCGTCTATCTAACTGCCGCCTCTGTACCTCCGGCGCAGGTGACCGCGGCGTGGTGCCATTAAGACCTGGTCTCTGCCACGTGGTCGTTCTATTGATGTGGTCGATGTAGAACACGCGACCGTGACTGTCCATGCGGGCCTCCCACCCTTGAAAACAATATGAGACATTCGTTAGGAATATGAAAAAAAAGTCTTTATTCACAACGGTAGAAGGCAGTAAAACAAGTTATCTATGGTACACACCTGCAGGTAAAGGTTCCTCGCACTCGATGATCCCGCCAATCATATTAGCAGGAAAATCACCCGTCAATGCCATCTGCCTCGATGCCCTTTCCGGTATAGAAGGTAGCCTTATACCCGCCATGTGCCTCAAAGGCGTGGGTGAGGCAACCGCGTTGTCATTGTCATCAATATCCTCTACTGGCCTCGGCCTCCTTAATACTACATCCTCCGGTGGTCCTGCGTGCACTATCGTAAAGTGATTACTATTTACAAATTCCATATTGGGAGATCTAATTTCAGACGTCCTGAGTTCATTCGTGAACTCTACCATTTCGAAGTTTTCCAGTCTATTGTCAGAGTTTTGTACAGGAGGCGGGTGTAAGTCTGGTGGCGGTAGAGGCCTCGGTCTTCTCGCGTGGTGAGTGGGCGTGGGCGGGCACTGCGGCACCGCGCCGCCCGCCAGCGCTGCCACTCGGGTCAGCACCCGGGGGTGCGGCCTCACCGGGCTTTCTACATTGTTCGTAGTTTTATTTGGAGAGTGCTTTGGAGTTCCTTCGCATCCAAGATTTTTAATCAAATGTCTCGGTAAACTCGAATGTTTAGGCGTTGAGGAGTCACACGAATGTTTTCGATTCATAATCATCGTTCCCACACTAGGCATCATTTTATTTGAATCATCGACTGGTGACGTCGAGTGTGATGAGTTGCAGGAACTGTGACCGTTGGAGCTATTGTTGTCAGTTTCTCTAGTAGGAGGATCTACGTGAGAAGAATTGAGGAACGCTGTCATCATAGTTGGTGTAGCACGTCCAGAGTTTTGCCTCGTGAGTGGTTTGTGACCTTTTAATACCGTAATTTCTTTTTCCTCAATCTGATTTCTGTTGTCGTCCTCAAACTCCGAGTGATTACTAATATCATTCAAAAACGTGTGTTGAGCTTTTTCTTCAGATTTGGCATGATTTGGCGTTCGGTTTACCCCATCCACTTCGTCTTTGGGAGGACTGGGTTTTTCTTTCCGTGCAAATGTCGTGGTTATGTAATTATCAGGACCAATATCTTTTATAAACAATATCTTATTCCTACTCACGCTGGGGGCGCCATCAGGTACATCTTTTGATCTCTTATCCTCGTTTAGCCTAGATAACTTCATAGATGAAATTGTCGATTCACATAAGCTGCCATCAGTTTCAGGTGTTGCTAAGGGAGCAACATTTTGGCCTCCTCTCCAAAAACTTGCTGTTGAAGACGTAGCTATTTGATTGCCAGAATAAAACTCTCCGGGTTTGAAATCGTTTAGTTCACCCTGTAACGCAGCTGAGTTTGTTATGTTATTGTCAGTGAAGAACTGTTCATCCGTATCGATCAATTCAAAGTTGAATGCATCTTCGGGCTTCGTCAACTTTTTTGGCTTTCTATGTCTGGGTACCTGTGGCGGAGATAATGCGTGCATTCTTTCAAGGGGTTTGTGTGATTGTCTCGGCGGTAGCGGTGGCACTGGCGACTTTTCTGCTTCACTGGGCACATTCGCACTCTCCACATCGTATACGAACTTCATTATTTTACAAGGATTCTTTGGTGACCATATTTTGTAATACTCAGTGCCCGGGGAAGTAGGTGAGTCAAACCCGCTGTTAGCTATTGACTTTTTCTTGACGCCATTGAGTGCCTGCCCGCCACCAGTGTCCACGGGCGGAGGACACTTCTTCTTCACGCCCGAGGACGTGGGTTTGCAGTCTGTAGTACTCCGAGATTCACTATTTACATTTTGAGATTCTTGACTTAAATTACTAACTAGAGATTTACTAGGATCACATTTTGTTTGTTCGAGATTGTTCCCGTTACTTTCTAAAGCACTAATTGAGCATTTGTTGACATTCTCGCTGAGATTTCTGATTTCGTGACTGGTGCCCGGCACAAACTCGATGCGGGGCGGGTTCTCCGAGTTCATTTCGAAGCTCTCGTTGTTGTACGAGAATGGCGACACTTGATCGCCGCTGCGTTTCCTTGAGATTCCCTCTTTGAGTCGTAGAGGTAACTTCTTGAGGTCCACCTTGAAGCGCGCAGGGAGAGCTGGTGACTCTGCCGCGCACTCCTCGCCTTCGCCATTGTAATAGCGGAAACATAGCAGCTGTTCACAGTCTGGAATAAACAAATAATCCTGATTTAAAAAGTAAAAGACACAAAACGAAACATAAATTTAAGTGTCAAGTTGTTAATGCGGGGGGTGGATGAGTAACATAGAGTTAATATAATAATTACCTTCATAAGGTTGATTAGGCTCGTCAAGAAGCCACATTATGTCGCCGCTGGCGCATCCGGTAGCCGGCACGCGCCCGACGACTGTGACCGAGCCCGCTGACTCTGCAACCAACAACAAAATTATTAAGTAAGTATATATTAATCTGATTAGTTGATAAACGTAAATATTCGCTGTATAACGTAAAGATATGAATGCGAAAAACAAGTTAGGTGACCCATGTCAGCGGTAATTAATATCAAACAATTCCCAACCATGTTCGTTGATATTAAAACTTTAATGCAATGCATATTCAATGAAACTAATTTGCATAAAATATTAAAGTAAACCATCAGGCTCACGTTAGCGAGAAACAAAAACAAAAATTATCTTTGCGAAAACTCATTTAGTGGGGCCGGCGGGTACCAGCATGAAATACAAAACGCGCAGGTGCAAAAGATTCGACATTAAAAACAAACAACAAATAAAGCAAGTACCTACGGCGCAGTAACAGCGCTCGCAGAACAGACCCCTACGCTTTTTTATCTAACAAAAATCAAGCAAGCGTAGGCTGACTGGGCGCAGTTCGGCGCTGCACAGGCGCATCACAAATTATGCGCCGACGTAATCACCGGATGCGGGAGTCGCCCGCACATTTTATGCGAAATAATCGAAGCCACCGAATTGCCAGTTAATTGGGGAAACACGACCATAAATTTCACGGGAGCAAATTGATTCCGCAAGTAAATTTACCAGGCTCGGGCCGGCCATTACCATATTTTGATTGGGCTAATATATGTGCGGGCGGTTAACATCTTCCTGTCGCTGATTAAGTGTTCGATGCTATCATAAATATCGTGAATTAGTACGCTTGCTGGCTTCACGTCAAAACTTGGCTTTATTTCAAACCACGCTTACGTCGTACAAGGAAAGGTTCGCGATGTCTGAGAAGGGAAAGGGCAAGCGATGCAGCACACACGCGGGCCGTCACGGGCGGATACACATAGGACAGGATAAATCGCAGTATTATCTCGAAACTGTTTCCGTTTGGGAATAATTACTGAGCTCTAGAGGCAGACACAAGATTGATCGCTGTCATTACTTTTTTGTTTCAGGTGATTTGTTAAAGCTTTTTGGGTAGGGACATTAGCAGATAAGCACGTACGAGTTCCATACGTTGAAATTTGTTGGGTGAACTTAAGATGACTGCAATTTCCTGAGCGATCTTTGATGGGGTGATGATGGAGTGCTGTCAGCTCGGAGTTTACATGTTGAAGATAGTGTGGACGTGCAGTCATGGACAGTGTGACGCGCGCGGTGACACAGAGGGCGTCTATTTCCGGGCGGTGACGCAACATCCGCGCGCTTCCGTCCGCAGGATACGGGAGGAGATACAAATGTCGCGACACTGGCGGAGATCAACCGCTGTGCTTCCGCGGGATTTGCGATAATGATGACAAAAACTCTGTGATGACTACACCAGACTCACTAGGTATGTAGGTTACGTAGTAATATAACATTAGGTAGGTACCTAGCATAGCTATTCCGTAGGTAACTTATAATTTCGGGCAGTTCAGGGAACAGTGATGGATTAATGACTTTGATTGATGGAGAAGGAGGAGCCATATTCAGTCCAGTGCCTGTTTTATAGACCTAAATATGAGTATGAACTAACATTTTTTTCTAGGAAATGCCAGCCGATTAGTAATTCAAATATTAAATTTTCAACAAATATAACACATGGTGAACTAATTTATGGGATTACTTATCATATTCATTTTAAAATCAACTTTGGACACACTCATGTTCTAGGAGGGTGACGAGGGCAGCAAAAATTCACATTAGCAGTATGTTTCCGCTCATTTTCGGGAATAGAGAATCATAATGATATTATACCTAAATATTAATGACGTGTAAATAACATATCTACATGAAAAGGAAACATCTGTTACTCAGTTCACTTCCCGGAGTTTTAGTAAAAAATCCTTGTGATGTATTGGACAGTATATTATGTTGCTTCATATTTCCAAGCTTCTTTTAGTGTACAGGCGATGACGGAGTTATAAACATTCGCGATATTGAAACGTAAGTGTAGGTACTACGAGAAGAGGAAACAATAAACAGTATCCGATATACCTCACGGATATACAAAACAAATTAACATTCTAAACCAAAACGCAATAGATCGAAATTCACTAGAATTTTTACTAAAAACAACATTGAGTAGCACGATATTATTGCGCAAATGAATAATTTATTATTATTTTTTTATATAAAAAATAAGGAAAATTTCGCAATTGTTAAATTTAATTGACTCATTATATGCTTATACGCATATAATGAATGTAAATGTGAAAGATGCAAATTTTGCTGACATCTTAACTTCATTGCGCATACGCAGATTATTAGCAAACTTAATTAAACGTAAGACATTATTGGCTAGCATCCATGGGAACTAGGCATTAGAAATTCAAACAGCATCAATTCACTTGTAAGCACCGCCTGGGAAATGCACGAGGAAGTGCAAATTAAAACATTGAAACAAATTACCATGATATTAAATGCACGACAACAATTACATGAATCACTTTAAGGTACTTAAGTTCCTTGGATTAACATAGCTGAGTTAGAAGTACCTACAAGGGCAATGTGGACTATGTGTCACCTAACCGTCCGTTTGGCGGAAGCCAGCAGTTAAACAAAACGACGACGGTCATTCCACGACCCCTTGAACACATCTGTCACTTTACGCCTACGCCCCAATGTTTTAAGTGAGTTTTTTACAGGGCGACATGATACGTCTTAAGTGGTACCCTCCGTTTCACACGATCTGTGTCAGACTTCTCGTATCCTTGAATTTGGTAAACAATACGTCTGTCTGTGATGATGACAGTTGTATGCTCTTCAAGTTTTTGCTTTCACAAAACGAGGGGAAAGGATTTACTAGAAGAAACTATTGTAGTTTTATAGATTCGAATACAATTTTTTTGTAGTTGATATCTTTACTCAAATAAAAAGCGCGCCTCTTAACCGAAAAAACATTCATGTCACGGAACTTCTTATTTATTTCTTTTCAGTACCATTAATTAAGGAGTAATTGTTCTGCTGCACGTTATTTTTGCTGACAGTCCAAGCTAAAAATATATAAACTCTTAATTTTGTGCCAACGGCAAGATGTAAGATGTCTCACAAATGCATCATGCCCCGATAAAATGATAATGAGTTTCGGATATTTTTATATCAACACGAACACCTATCGGAAAAAATGAGAAGCAATCACTATGATTGCAAGTGTACCACACATTTTTTACCCAAACTAGAAATAGAACAACCCGTATCCTTCCTAAAATAAACTAAATTACATTTCGAAGTGGGGAAATGACAGTTTAAAGGGGGTCGGCTCGATGACAGACTCCCATTAGGCAGAGTGACGATTTGACAGTTTCACGACTTTGGGTGAGGTTAACGTTGAAGTGAGCTTTGTTTCCAGTTCTCACGAATACCTTTCAACGTATTAACAACGTGATGTCGACGCCAGGATCTTAAATCAGCTTTATTTTCGTCTTTACATCCTTAGGGTTGTAAAAAGTGTTACAGTTGCAGGTCATTCAACACCTTTGTAACAAGTACGTTCGCTTCGATCGTATTCTAACATACGTCTCACTCCAGGTCACGTGGCTTTGAATTCTTTAGAATAAAATTTAAATTGCCTCGGTACTGAAATAATGCAGTTTGAGCACTGAGAATTTGTTCTAATTAAAACTACTTAAGTACTATGTACAACACTTTGTCGTCTAGAATTTTGAGAAGTCCAAAATACCTTACCTATTTAAATTTAAAATCTCGCACATGTAATGATTGAAAGTGCCTACAGGCGCGAGAAACTCACAAGAAATTAAAACAGTGACAAGTTAGCAAGAGCCACAGTGAATTTAATAAACGAGCAAAGAACGTACTCTCTTTCATAGAATTGGCCATCGTTAATTCTTAATTAAAATAACTTTTCGTTCATTCAAAAAGTCCATTAATGTCCCGTTAAGTCTACGAATAAAGATCACTTAAAATTCAAAAGGGTGGGCACAAATCGCTTCAGATATCGTATGCTGCGGACAAAGCTTTATTTGAATCCATTAGCACCTACATTGATAAGTTAAGGTGACATTTACCTTCTAGATTTTACTGTCAATAGTATGACGAAGGTGTCATACAATATGACTAAGATTCACGTAAATATTAGAAGCAAACAACAAATGTATAGTGGGTAGTGCGTTTTGTTTCATATTCTATATGCACACAGTTCTTTATCTCCAAATTTATATGAAGATAAACAAATAATCTAAAGTTCATCAACCCAATCATCAAGAATTCAAACACATCAAATAATCAAGATGATTTCTTCTTTCAAATAAACGCGGATTTATAACCATCCATGCCAAATTGATTCTTAACAGAAAAGACAACTTTAACTACTTGACCTTCGTTAATTTTCCGTTCATATGTAAATCCGGTGTGACTCATTAGCGTCTAATCGCAATAGTAGAATGCGTGTACGCCGGGCCCCTGGAACACACTCCAATACTATTGGAACTGATTGTGATTCATTATAATAGAATATTCATTAGCACGTGAATGAGGGCCTCACCTCACGCTGTGTTTATTGTGATGGCATAGCCGACACTAATAATATCGAAGATTCATTACAATTACAAGAACTGTTAAAACATTTGTAGTATGTGTGTGTTAATTACTGAGCTCAGCTACCTACGTCAGATATTAACAACCTTGTCGCGCCCGACCATGCAACCTCGCCACCTCACCCGTACCAAATAAGGCCTGATATTATCTGACCATTTGATATGGTTGTCACCTCATAAGGGCCACTGAATATGGCAGGAAAACACTGCGCCCAAGTATTAGCCGTGCTTCTCCCACAAAGGCTGCGCTAGTTACCCTATAAGGGTTTCTAGTGTTAGATCGAGCTGCCCGTTATCACCATCTACGGCGATATGGATGCGGCGAGCCAATAACTTAGCGTAGAATGAAAGAAATCGACATTTATACTGTATATTTATATTCATTCACCTAGCTTATTATCATTGCGGTTAGGAAAACAAATTCAGATTCCAAAAGATGTAATTGAAGCGATAGACAGATGTGTGGGTGGCGCGGGCGCAACTCCGAGTATCATGATAATCGCCGGCCACTCAATTATGGTGGCCTGGTCTAATAGGGCATTTAGCTGTCAATTACAAGTGATCGACTCACTCGCCAGATAAATGTTCTAGATTGATTGCATTGTCAACAAACAAACGAACTCCAGATTAGAATTTTCTTTAATCAAAACTCGTTCAGACGATATTATACGTATTGTTTTGAATATATTATTACCTTACTCTAAAACATGAGTTTCCAATAATTCATGCGTAGGTACCTTAATAACATAAAATATCAATAAAAACCTGGTTTATCCGGCTATTGTTTCGGAACCGAATTCTTATTCGAAGTGTGAGGTAAACATTTCATCGAACACAACTCGACCCACTAATTTAGATACATTCTAAATATAACATAAAGAAATGTAGTTTAGATTAGCGCAGTATCGATCGCCACGTGCGGTCCATTGATCGTGTGGATGGCGCGGAGTGGGGGATTCATTCATTCATGCGCACGCGCATCGATCGCGACCTCGACGCGGCCACGCCGGCGCATGCCATTCGCACCGCATTTCGCACTCCGCTAAATACATGGTTCACATTACTAGAGTCAGACTCATAAATAATTCTGATGTCAAACCAATCAGAATACGATGAACGTTTACGACTATTGTTATGAAAGATTGTTTTATCTGTCATCCTCGATGAAAAGCGATCTTTAATTTTGTTCATAGTGGTTCTATACAATAATGGATTCCTTGTCAGTGGGTTGTCATATGGCTACGCCTACACCGCAATTAAGTAACGTGGAATGTTGATCCTAAAGGTGAGTGTAGGTGACAACGAAAATATTAAATTAACTAGTTGATTAGGTAATAAAGTAAACGTGCGTTTGTCTGGTGAATTAGGCAAGTGCTAATATTTGCGGACACCTACATCCGCCAACCTGCCGCATGCCGGTCGACCGTGCCGCGGCACGACGTGTCAATAAACTCCCACTATGTTTTACTAGCTAACACTACGAAATGGAGTAACTAGAAAGTGCACGAGGGCGAAATCAATATACCTCTGTAAGGCACACGTGGTACACAAATATTGAACAGCCATACAAATTGCCACATTTACCATCTTCGTTTCCAAGACCTGTTTCAAAGGACACTGGATATCAAATGTTCATCAAAGAATATCTGGGATAAAAGGTATATGCGAACGCTTCTATGTCGAAATAAAGTAAATGATGGAAACAATTCCTACATAGTGCAAAATTATGTAAATTCTACACGACCAGCAAGGTAAACTAGTAGGTATAAGAAAACAAATAACAAGTCGGTAATATATCCACAATACTTAACATGCAATATGTGCACAACATTGTTACAAGTAAACATGTAAAACAGACCTCAGAACTATATTTGTGTGGTAAAGACAAAACCCAACGCCCATATATTACACAAATAATCGATACACAAACATCACATCGCTACCTACACGTTTCATAAGTAAGATTTCATTAAATACAAATATTTTTTTATCACAGTTTGCTCTCAATTAGAGTAGCTTTAAACATGTCCCTAACGCGGATCGATACTAACCAATATAACTAGTGAGTGTCATTATTAGTAAGCGGGGGCGGAGTCCCAGTGTGGCGGTGTGGTCGCAGTAGTGGTGCTACAGCCAGGAATGACGCGTCACGTAGGCGCGTGCGCTCGACATGCGCGACGCGCCCACCGTAACGCCGCCGCCATTATAAATCTCCTACAATTCCGCAGAATTTATGGGAACGTTGCCAGCGACATCCTTGCCCATCGACATCGACCGGTTATCGACTGGCCACTTGCCTACTCCGATTCCGGACACGTAATGGCCGTCGTAAATTCGACTACCCATTTTGGAATGCGATACCTATTTAAAGGACACCGAAATTGGTTAGGTTTAGATTGTACACTTAACGTAGGTACTTCCGTGAGAGTAACAGTTACGAGCAAAAGGGTAAACGAACCAGTTGCGAGCGTTGGGGAATTCCAAGCTAAAACTCCATTCAATAAAGTATTCAATGAACGTAGTGCTTTCGACGTGTTAATACAAATACGCAAGCGGAATCAGGATTCAGAGTGCGGCATGCAAAAGAATAAGGTACATCAGACGAGAACCGGGACGAACGACCTCCACATCTGCAAAACGAATACAAATGTCCTAATCGGGTAGTCGACTAATGTGATCAGTCAGCACAGAAGTGTAATAAATCATGAGAAAATAACGAGAAACTTGTTTGCATTCATTGGAAGATTGCAATAAAAGTGCACACGACGACCACAGCAAAATAATATAAAATCGTAAAGTCAGTAAAATACGATGAAGAAATCTTTTTTTATCTATACCAATGACATCATTGTGCCCAAAGGTATTACAAATTAGGTTGTTAATTAGCATATTCATGTGCCCACCAATGACAAACTTATAACAGTTATTAAAATTTGAAAGACGAAGTACCTTCACCGAAATTGTGGCGGTATTGTCGCGCGGCCTTTCAACGGCCGAATACTTACACGCACTTCCTGTACTACGAGTATTGAATTGGCGAAAAACAATGACCACTAGTAATAACCGTTCGTATGGCTTGTAACAAGGTGTAAGATGATAACACAATATATACGCTTCAACAACCTGCTACGTAAAGCTTCGCGTGCCATTGACCGTGATCCGCGTTCAAATGTCAAAGGTTAATCTTCACTAGGATATCCGCCTATAGATACACGTTAACGAATTAATTTTAAGTAACAACAGTATTATCATAATCTGCAATGTTTGCACCTACGCTTTTGTAATGATCTTTTATATCTTACAGTTTTGGAATATAATGTGGGAACAAATTCTTGCATATTTGCAAACAATGCTTGTGCAAAAACATGCTTCGCAGACAGGTATCGTGTGATTGTGCAGTCTCATTAAGCGAGTTTTAAATTATATTTATTGTGAGAAAAGATTAACAAAGGCTTTTGAAATGTTTGTGTATGTGTAATTTGAGAGGAGATTGGGTGAACGAACGAGAAGTTGCCTTACAAAGTTGCGAGGTCTAAAATGACAGCCCAGAGTGGACTTGCAAAAGGTTAATTGTGTAGATTCATGACTAATTGACTGGTTGTATAATAGAAGCGCATCTTCCTGTGTCGTGTGGCGTCAGAGACAGACGCAACGTTCGTTCCATTAGAGTTAGTTCTATTTTTTCTGAGAAAGGGAAGTGGACGGCAGACAGGTGAGCCGGTAACGGTGGAATGGCGACGAGCGAGCGGCCACGTCCCGCGCGTCCACATTCCTGGATAAATCTTTATCTAACCGATGCCGTGCCATCAGGCAACTTAGCCGACGACGAAATCCCAAACATTCCTGTTCTACGGTAATGTGTTGTCTCAACAAGCGATTTATTTGCTAGGTACTTAATTTACTTATCAGTATAAAAATATCAAAATGATTTAAATGACTTTGTAATTCTTATTATTTTTTATTTATTCATCCCACAACCGAAGTAAAAAAAAATAGTGTTCGTCCAACCTACGGGTCCAACAGACTGAGGTTATAGTCCTATGTTTTCAAACGGCACTCTGGTCTGTTAGGTCGAATAATATGCATTAAGTTTCTTCATCTGTCAACGCACCCTAGATGTTTGACCGTAATAATAGGATTCGTATACACAATAACATTGAGGTTGTTGTGCCTTCTTAAGGTAATACTCAAGTACTCACGTACCCATTTCTTACCATTTTTGAGGTTATTTTTGGCTGTTTTGCAGTTAAAAGGGTATTCAATAACCACCATGTAACTTGGAAT